TCCAGGAGTTGAGTCTATAAATTTTTTCCACTTCTCTCTGTAATTCTCCTTTATCCATATCCAAGGCCAGCGCCAGATCAGTAAGGACCACCTCCACCAAATCTTGATTGATATCTTCCTTGAGGCCTCTAATCCTCAGGGCATACTCCATCTGTCTGTACTGAAACATCAAAATATCTTCTTGTGAGGAGTCCACCTTCCTTTCCACGTCTTGAATTTTGTCATCCAAAGAGTCAACTTTGTCTTCCACTTCCTCAAGCCTTGCGTCGAGCTTAACCACCACAGTAGCCAAACCTGAAACAGCTGCCAATATATCTTGTCGTAGTTCATTATTATTTTCTTGCAATTTAGACTTTATCCCCGTTATCTCTTCTTTGAGATCAGATTTAATTTCTGATTTAATCTGTGAAACAAATTGATTCATTTCCTCTCTCATTTGAACTACAATCTCTCCCATTATGCCTCTAACCTCTTGTACTGAAAGTCCAGGTAGAGGAGGGGAGGGTGGTGGCTGAGCCGGTGGTACATGTTTAGATTGTTGTTGTAATTGTGCAGTGGAAGTTATAGGAGAAGAAATAACCTTAGGTGCTGAGGAAGGCTGCTGCCTCTTTGAAGCCATTTTAAAAAGCACAATTGTCACTTCCCTTTCCCCTCCAGCCAAAAAGGGAGGAGGAAAAAAAAAAATTTTTAAAAAGAGACAAACTATAGTCATTAAAAGTCCAGAGTAAATCCAAAGAATAAGTAGTAAAAGAGCAAACAGTTCAAAAGAAAAAATTCTAAACCAAAAGCAAAAGCAGAAGCAAAAAACAGTCCTTAGAAAGGGAAAGTAAAACAAAAGAGAAAGGAAAAAAAACTCCGACAGTTTCAAAACGCCATCTTAAATCCTTTCACTAGTATAACAAAAAAAAGGAGGAAAAATAGTAAAAATCAAAAGATAAAAAAATAAACACCTAAAATATAACAAAAAATCCTTTAAACTGCTCCGTCCGTTTAAAAATTACTCACCAAAATGCTGTAAACACGGAGATAGAAGCGGCGGTTTCTTTTGCTTCCTAGGAAGCAAAAACAGCTGGGAGGCGGAGATCAGCAAGAGCTCCGAGGGAACACTCCTTTCACCCCCTCTAGAAATAAATCCAGAGGGGGTTCAGGGGTTCTACCTCTACTCTTGCGTTCTCTGTCCCTTCCCTTTGCCCGGGAAGGGATTTCCGAGCCGCGGGCCAGCTGATGCGCGCTGCGCTCCGCGGCTCTGACACTTCCCCAGCTGGACGGCTAAAAGCTAGCCGCCATCGCCGTCGCCTCCCACCGGAAGCTCCTATATTCAATCTTTATAGACAATCAATATCCTATTTATTGTTTTCCCCAATTTTTAATTTCCCATCAATATTCAAATTTAACTTTTAATATTTATACTTCCAAGTTTTAAGTGACCAAAGTTTCTTTATCTCACTTCATAACAAAATCTAGTATTCAAAATACACATCTTGTCTATCTGAGTATATTCTATTTTAATTAGTAATATAAACTCCTCTCTAATAAATCAAAAGCCCAATTTTTTTCAGCCTTATTCTAGCTTTTTTCCTTTGCCAGCTCACCTTCCATGTCAGTGCTTTTAAGTCATCAAATAGATCTCCCTCTGTTGTTATATATATTATAAGAGAGACCATTCAGTCACCATTTTTTTGGAAGGGCTAACGAATCACCTCTCTATTATTCCAAATCCCCATAGTTGTCCTGATATGTTTGTCTTCCCTTCAGTCTGTTCTTCTTCTTGCTCCTCAAATTTCTTCTGATTTATATAGAAAGTCGTTTCCATTTTCAGTGTTGTCAGTCCCTTTTCTGGATTTTCCATTGACTGTATTTATTGGTCAGTTGAATCTTCTATCATAGTATTTAATTGTTCCACTTCTTCTGTTATCTTCTGCATAATTGATTCTTTAATTGTGGTCAAAATTTGCTTTGTATATCTAGGCTGACATCTTGTTCTTTTCTGTAGAATCTTATTTCATCACAAGCTGAAATAATGGTTTCATGTATTGCTTTCAACATAAAAAGAATCTGTTCTTGGTCTCCATCCATATTCTCTTGATGGTGTGTTAAGTTGAGGGCTTTAGAGAATGAAAATAATGTTATAATTGGGTATAGGACGCAGCTGAGCTTCTCACAGCTGGTATTTGTCAAGGTTGAAAAAGTTTTATCTATAGTCTGGGCTTCAAGCCAAGTCTCCTTTAGACAATAACGTTGTAATATCAAACTTGGCCACAAGATGTCACCAATGCCGTTTAAGGTTTTTTAAGTCCAAAATTTTTATAATCCTTTTTCCAATTTTATTTCTTTTTTGTAAATAAAAACCAAAGTCTTCTGTAAAGATAAGAAATCTTTTGGTTCCCAAATTTTAGAAGCATATAAATCCAGTTAGATTAAAGTTATTCTTTCAATGTCTTAACTGCCCTGGATAGTCAGTCGCCGCTATTCTTAGAGGGTGGGATAGAAATTCCCTTCCCTCTCACAGGGGGGAAGATGCTTTGGGCAGCTTTTACAGGAAAAGAAAATACTTGGGATTGAAGATCTCACCCAGTCTCATCTACGTTGCTTTAGAAGTGCCTGGTGGTAAGTTTGACTTCGGCTGTCTGCAGCCTAGTGACGAGCCATATTTCTATGGCTGGTCTTTCATCCACCAGTTTGGAGGACTGCCCTGGATCGAGCAGAAGGGCTACTACCTTCCTGCAATCAAATGGGGGGTCTCCTTCTTGCTTGACCCTCTGCTTCCCCCAGCAGAGCAAAACCGAATGCAGAAGACGGAGCTTGCCTTCCAGCGGCCGTGGCGGCTGCAATGGAAAACCGGTAGTCTCAAGATTCTAACCTTGATTTTCTCAGTATCTCTGACTGAAATCAATCAACTTCATCTGTTTTTGGACAAGTGCAACACATATCCAGAATTCTCTTTTAGTATCTGAGCTGGAATACTGTGGATATTCCAAGCCCTCATTTTGAAGGAAAGACCAACCTTAGTCAGAGCATTGTTTCCAAGGAGTACTCAGATCATAGTAATATCAAAATGAAACCCTCCTATTTAGTTTTTACATGAAGAACATAAAATACATGAAACAAAGTCATTCTTGCCTGGTCACATATCTGCATTTTACCATAAAACCAGATCAACTGGTAGTAATGTCTTCACATAATAGATAATAGCCATTTAAAAACTTCATTAATCTCTATTATATAGAGCTGAATTATCCTTCTGACTTTTATTGTTGTACTGAAATGAACCAAAAATTAATTTTATCTTGTAAAATGTTTTTAAAATGCATTTGATTAAAATAGTTGCAAGGTAAATGATTTTAAGGTGACAATGTGGAATATTGTTAAATGAGATTAGTTCAGTATTTAATGAATCTGAAATTTTAGCTCAATTATCTTTATTTAGTTTGACATTAACAAATATAAAGTATGGAAGTTACAGTTAAGATTATGTACAAACCAAAATAAAATTAAAGTTCATTACATTTCACTTGCATTCACATATGGCAGTAATGAACCAATCATAAATGAAAACATAATGTAATTAAAATACCAGATATGACATATTGAATTAATGCACTTTGACTGATTAAATTAAACAACTCATTATTAATGGACAGCAGATCCCAATATTTCTCCTGTAAAAGATGTTTACATTTTTGGGACTATCAACCCTGTGTTTTCATAGTTTCATAAATAGCAGAAGAAATGATGACTATAATTTAATAATTGATGAGATACATAGTTTTGTGTGATATTAAAGGAGGTTAAAGATTATTTCCATATTATGGAGTTGTGCTTAATCATTCTAATAGCTGTTGCCAGAGATGATAAGGCCAATGTGATGTAGCAGAAAAGTTTCAATTCCAGCTTTCTATAGTCTGAGAACTATGGCTGTAACTAAAAGCCCTCTGATTAAAATCAATGCAATTCACAAACATATCAATACTTCTCAGCTTGCCTGAACTGGAATAGATAATCAGTTTAGCCACAGACTGCACCAAAATAGTCTTCCTTTGTTCAGTGCTGTCTAGTTTTTTCAAGCAAGGTTGGCTGCAAAGTAGGGCTCTGTATGGTTTTTTATAGTGTTTTTATCTTTGTACGTGGATATCCTGTAATTTCTTTGTGTGTGTAAACTGCTGAGAGACTTTTTGATTGTGGCGGCATGCAAATATATTCAATGAATACATACAGAAAGTAATAAACAAACACATTTGGAAAATACCATGTTGGAGAAAGCCTTTATTTTACTCAGTGTGAGTTACCTGCTCACTAAGGATCAGCCTCTTTGCTCCAACAACTACCTACATTCTCATCTGGAGGGAAGTCACCACTGTCTTGATATGGAAAATATTCACCCACCAGATACCAGCCATGCAGCTTTGGATTTTGGCTATTGTATAAGTTGAAACCACTGGAGTTTGGAATATGATGGACACAGTCATATAGTTCTCTTTTACAGAGAGACATTATTTGCGAGATGTGAGAAGAAAAAAAAAAGGAGAGAAGTGCTACAAAATGTTTGCAAATAAATGACACATTTGTAAAATGTCCTGCATATAACACAGTTCAACTATGCCTTGTCTTATATATGTTAACTATTATAATCCATTATAATTAGATCCTGTGAAGTGTAATGGATTAAGTATTGAATTTGACCAGGGGCACTGGGTTCAAATCCCTGCTCAATACTTAAATCTATTATATGATTTGCTGTTAGTTATTAATCTCTCATGGCATGATAAAATATACATCTCCCACAAACCAATCCCCATAGGAGAAACTATTGGATTTAAAAAAGGTACCTGAATGCATAAATCTATAAAGATCTGTGCCAAACTAAATTCTACTTTCTTAAATAGGACCTGTTTAAAATAAATAAATAAATAAATAAATAAATAAATAAATAAATAAATAAATAAATAAATATGATTGATAGTGATCTTAGCATCTTTGTGGGCATTCTTATGTTTCCAAAGGAATCTCACTTAGTGATCAACTTTGTAAACTGTTGACAGTCCGGTATGGAAATCCTGATCTAAAAATCACATTTGAGAATTTTGCCTGCTTCATGCTACGTGTGGAACTTATGATGGGTAAGTAGATTTTTCACTAAATTTCTTACAGGGGACTGCAGGGAAAATTATTTCACAGATGGCCCTTTCCAGAATACAAATGAATGTTTCAATGAGCTCTCTTTAGATCACTGCAAGAAAGATGCAAGGATTTTTTTTTTTTTAAGATTTGCAGATATCATTAGAAGGCAAGGAATTGTCAGGGTTTTTCCCCCAAAAAAATTCTATACCCCATTTGTTTTGTTGTTGTTTTTAAAAAAAACCCTCAAAAACATATTTGGGGGCAACCATAATCAGGCAGCTTACAATGAAGCAGAAGAAAAAATCATTAGATGGAAGAAGTTTAAAAAGTATTAAAACTGATTGTAAGTAATACAAGCAATAACCAAACAGCTACAAGCAAAACAACTGAAATAACAATGCATTCCATTGTGATAGAAAAGCAAATGAATTGGGAGACAATATCTCAGAAAGGAGATAGCTTGTTTTATTGATTTATTTACACAATTTATATGGCCATCTATCTCATGTCACAACAACCCATGATACATGATGAAAAAAAAAGTACCCTTCTCCCCCAGGCTTAACCTACCAAGTTTTAGGGCTTGGTGCTACTGTACCTCTGAGGCTTCTTCTATGTGCTACCTGCAATACTTTTTTCTTGGTAGAAACCAAGAGAAAAATAAAGGTTTTCCTCCAGGAATTAAAGCAGGGGTCTTCAAACTTGGCCCTTTTATGATTTGTGGACTTCAACTCCCAGAATTCCCAGGATTCTGGGAATTGAATGCCACAAGTCATAAAAAGGCCAAGTTTGAAGATCCCTGAATTAAAGGATATAAATTGGTTCAGATTTCCTATTAAGGATGTGGGGATGGAGAGAGGTGGATGAAAAGATGCTTAAAAGCAAATGTTTTCTGAAGGAGCAACTCTTCCCACTGGGACTCATGCTTTCATCACCTCACATTTAGATCATCTTTGCTTTACAAATGGTTTTTATAAAATTAATTGGTAATTTGGAAATGCAACAGACCCTACATTTAGTTGGGTCATATTTTTGTTGCATTGTTTAACAATAGGCTTCCAGGAACAACGGAAGGTTCTGGTTTTCACCGTTAAAGTCCTACAAGTCAGTTTTTAAAATGTGTGAACTTGTAATGAAATGAACTAGTGCAAAGCTCTAGAAATAGTTGGATCTTAGCATCATTTAGTTTGCTGACATATTTGTGATGTTGTGGAGTAGAGAATATTGTGAGACATTTAAAAAGTTGATGTGACTTTTGCCAATTGCTCACCCTGGGAAAGGAGAGGGCATTTTCCTCAAGGACTCTTCATCGCTACAGCTGATCTGGTTTTTGAGATGCAAAGATAGGAGATAACCAGTCTTGCCTTTTTCTCTCTGAGTATCTCATAATTTCTCCTTATTTCCTTTCTTTTACAGAAGCCTTTTATAATATGAGCGAAGATGGCAAAGGTATCTACCTTCTAGAGTCTGAGGTAAGGATGAGATTTCTATGATCTTTATGGGGGGGGGAAAATCCAAGTTATATGTAGCCTATGATTCTCAAGGATAAAGAAGGTTCTTTAAAGAATGTAAGGGCTCATTTCAGCACCTTCTATTCCATGTACCCAATGTACGTTCCTCTTGTGCTATTCCAATAAACAATGGGGGGGGGGATATTATCTCAGAACTGCTATTTGAAGCAACTGTACTGCAGCTGTATCAAGAATTCTGCCAAAGGAGCTTCAGGTTCTGAGTTATAATGCCACCTCATCTGAGAGCACTTACAGAGCTTGGTCAATATAATCATGCTTGCATACACATATATACAGATACAGATATTGTACATGCACTCTTTCCTTTAAGCAACTGTATTGATAGTTGTGGAATTGTTAGGAATAGCTTCCTCACGTTGTTGAGAGACTGAGGTTCTTTAGCCTTGAATTAGGACAAAGAACAATCCAAGATTTATTCTCTCATTGGGACCAGTAACAATGTTGAGATAAAATATTGCCGGTGAATACGAAATAAATGATTCAGTTCATTTCTCCATATTGTTTTTCAGTGGATGACGATGACACTGTATTCATGAAACATTAAAAGAGAATAACTCAGTTGAGCTACATTGGCCCTTCAAACCCAGAAGCCAAAATCCTGAATTCTAATGCGACTTTTATTATAAGATTACAGTAACAGAATCTTGTAAGTCTGAATGTGCCTCTTCCTCTCCTACTCTTACATTCCAGAAAACTAAGGAGAGTCAATTCTGAGGTGCTTACCCTAATTACATTCCTGTTTTGGACTCAGATTTTATTGATCAGAATATTGTCTAAGTTGTAGCTCTTCCTCCTGTCTCTCAAACTTGTTCTCACAGCCCATTACAAGAATGAAGGCCACTTCTTATTGAGTGTTTGTGTATGGTGCTTGACATTTTGAGTCAGGCTTATCTTTCTTGTGAAGCTCAAAAGCGTTTCATGCATTATGAGTAATTCCACTCTTCTATTAAGGATTGTTTGTTGGTTCAAAATACTTTGAAAATATTGTTTGTTCAGGGAGGGTTTATTTTTAAAAGTAAATCTGAGTTACAGAGGAATTACTTGGGCAGCAGTCTGGATTGACTATTATGTTAAGCCATAAATCATTTAAAAACTTTTTCTGCAGTTAGATGGCTACAGTTATATCTTCTTAGTAACAAGGGGCAAACCAACACAAAGTGACCTAAATGGCCTCATAGCAATGTTTCTCAAAAACCACCATTTTCAAATTTGTTTGAGGCTTAAGATTGGTTTTGGTGGCTGTTTTCCCCCTCTTTTTCCAATAGTATTGCTGGTTTCTAGCAAGACTGCAAAGCTGTACCTTGCTTTCCAGCCTATTGCAAGTTTCCTTAATTTATTCTCATTTTAAATGTATTTTTATGTATAATTGTATTTAAAATTTCATCATATTTATACTGTATTTTGATAGTATTTAATACTTTGGTATTTGTTATTTGTATTTTTAAAGAAAGAATAAAAAATAATAATAGTAAAAATGAGATATTTGACTGGTTATTAACATGGTCTGCAACATTTGGATAGCTGAATCACTCTGAAATCCTATAGAATGCTGTTTATCTCGTCCTTGCTTTCAGTCGTAGCTTTGAGTGTTAAGACTCCATTTTGAGGCTAGAGTTAAGTTGCTGGATTACTTAAATATTGTACAGTTGTTTTATTTATGGCTTTGATTAATTTACAGTTAATTTATAGTTACCTATCTAAAGTTTATGAGTCTGTGTGTGATATATAATAGAAATGTAAAAGAATCTATACAATTTCCAAACTGATGGTAGAGGACAAAATATGCAGCATTGTTATCCTACAAAAAAGCTCTCTAAATTCATAAATTTCTGATGAAATCATGGTTGAATTGTCATTCAGCTGTAATTGACTGCACTTGTTGCATTTCTCACAGGAACAGGGGCTAATTTTAACTTCAAAGAAAACCTTTTCAGCCTATGCAGTTGTATGCAGCTAGATAATGAGAAACTTTTATGATGATTAAATAAATAAAATTTAAGTGACAGAAATGTTAGCAATTTTGTTATGTTAGAACTTTATTGTGCAAGGCAAAATTTTAAGCATATTGTTCATTTCCTACTGCAAATTTAATACAGAATATTGTTCCTGATTTGTTTTATGTATCTATTTTATGTGTTATATAAATATAAATGTATCCTTTTATATACAAAGTCTCTTTAATATATTGTAATTGTGACAATATTATAAAACCATTGATTATGTGATTGCTACGTATAAGGCATTTTCTCTATACGTCAATAAGGTTTTTTATAACAAAAAAAAGCCTTGAGCTGTGTTTGCAAACTGGGAAGAGGCATTTTGTTGGAACTGTTATATCAGATTTGTAAATAATATAGTCTGTTTTATGTGGATCATAATAAAAGTTTTTAGCAAGGTTATTGGCTTGGACTTCTTGTAGATTATGTAACTGATATACTTATTATATAACTTTCATACCTAACAAAAAAAAAAGCATTTCTGAAATTCTGACAAGACTTATTTTCAGTGTGTGGAGTTCAAATGATATAAAAATTTCTGAGATATGCATTCAGCTACAACAACAACATTCATACAAAGTCATTTGTCTTTTATTGGGGGCCATTGCAACAACAAACCAACAGAACAAACTAGAAACTTATAAAACCATGAGAAGCTTTTGAAAGAAACATGACGTGGACAAGCCTTTTTCTAGCATGATCCAACTTTCCCAGGATGACATTGTTTTTCCCTAACATTAATTTATGAAGCAGAAAATAGTACGGAAATAAGGAAATGTCAGATGATTCAGCTACCAGCAATAATATGGAACAGAATTCTGTATTTCTCTCAGAAGTCCTGGGTTATTCACTGGGTTCAATATGTTTCAGTTTCCTTTACATTTCCACCCAATTTTAAACCAGTAACATACAACTGTACGCCTCAAGGACATTATTCTATGTGTTACTGCTGTAACTCTAACTCTAGGTTATTTATTGGAAAGGCTGCTAAGAACCATATTGGGCAACATAACATAGAGGTGTTGATGGTGATGAGATTTATCTGGTCTCAGGTGAACAATGTGTGAAACAGTTGGAGGGACTGGGTGTGTTGTCATGGAGATGAGAAGGCAGTGGGAAGATAGTATATGAAGGGCTACCATGTAGAACTCGGGGCAGAATTGTTAAGAGGTTTTAGAAGATACTCAAGGAACAAACATAGATTTCAGTTGGACCTCATGAAAAATATCCTAAGAAAAATATCCAATCATGAAACAGACTGGCTTAGGAGGTAGTGCTGCTGAAGACATTTAAAAAAGAGTCTTTGGGGTGTTGGAGCAATGGATTTCCATAGTGGGTAGAGTGTTGACTACAGTACCCTTCAATAATTATCACAATCTTTACATAATCAAAGCCATCATCATTTTTGATTCAATTCAATTTAATTTATTTTTTTAATTCATATCCACTTGTGAATAGACTTATTTGAAACAAAGATTTTTATAAATAGATACTCATCAAATATGGTTCTCAAATGGCCCAGCCAAGCTTTTTGTATTCCCTCATATCATTCTTCACCCCAATACACAATTCATGTTACTTATCAAAATATTTTCCCCATGGAACACATTCATTCATTCATTCATTCATTCATTCATTCAGAACATGGAACAATTTCTCTCCCAAGACATCATAGCTGCATTCTCTATTTATTACCATTCACTGTAACGTTACATACAACTTTCACCAGCCTATGCATTGATAATTGTATATGTAGAACAATGTAGATGATACAGATTTATGTTTCTGACACACATTTTAATCTTTTCATTAAAAAACTATACTTTTACTTCCTGTGCATATGTATTTATTAATTCCTTACCAAAGATCAGAACACCTCCATTTGTATCTATTATATCCTTCCTATCAGAACCCTTAAATCCATTTTCCCTCAATCCCCCTTTCCCTTTTTAAGGTTCTGCCATTCTATTTGGGGGGGGGAGAGGGGGCATATGAGCTTTCTGCAGTGTATTTCCTTTGCTGTGCTTTGCTTTGTTCTTTCTCTTTGAAATGTCCTGGCCCTTTCTTAGGGTGAAAAAGGAATGTTCCTCTGGCCATCTGCCTTATCTCTGGACAGAGGGAAGATGGCGCGATGAGACCTGACAACCTTGAGAGCGGCGCCTTATTGGTTAGTTCCTACAACACTTTTACACCTTTGGATTGGCTGTATTTGAATTGACCAAATGGACAGTTGTGGTGGGGTTTTGGATTCCTACTTTGAATGTATTGTTTCGTGCAGGAAACCTTCAGATCCTGCCTTACTTTCCTGTAATCAGGAACCCCAATAAAAGTTGAAATGCTGCATATTTCAAGAGTTCTGCTTTCTTGGGAGATTTAGCTGAGGCAGGTTCTTACACTTCTTGTTTTTCCTAAGTTCATAACCATACTTGTTTTCTTTTTCGTTCATTTATTTATTTATTTATTCATAAACTGTACCATTTATCCCTCTTACATTCCAAATCACTAGATGGAGTATAGATATTGTCCTCTGCCATTCCCTATGTCTTTGAACAGTCAAGGATTTCATGCAAAGTTGTTTAGTGAGAGAAAGTAAGAGTAGACTAGGTTACCAGCTCTGGCAGATCAAATGATTCTTTCCTCTTATGTCCCCATTCCTGGAGGGCATCCCTGGAAACCTCTGAAGCAGGTGAACTGTACATGTGAAGGAAAAAGGCACATAGGTTAGGCTCTGGATACATTAGGAATTTTAAAAGCATATGGTGGGTACATTTTAAAGATGGCTGCCATGGTCCTACATTTTTAACAAAACACTTACCATCTAAGTTAGGCATGTCAAACTAGCGGCCCATGGGCCACATCTGGCCATGCATCTGGCCACACCTGCCCCAGCACCGCCAAGGTGAAAAATTCCTGATATGTCACCATATGGCCCATGTTGCAAACCCGCTTGTCATCCCTGATCTAAGAGGAAATTTGCAGAATCGCAAAGCAATATGGCAAACAATAAGGTATTTTCCCCTCCAGATACATGAGACGTACTCCTGCTATTGTTCAGTTCTGGATTTACCATTCTTCTCTAATTATTCCAGAGATCAGTAGTCTCCTGAGCCACTGTCCACTAATGCTCATAAGAAGAGCAAATCATGGATTCTGGTTTCTCTTGCCCAGGGATGAGGAATCTGGGATCCTCTACATGTTGCTGAATTGTAGCTCACAACAGGACTAGTCAGGAGGCCAGTGATGGAGTTATGTTGGTGACTGCAGTTTGGGACTGTAAGAGATGAATGAATCCAGAGGAATGGAGGGAATTCATAAGGAATTTAGTGCAAATAAAGAAATTTAGCCTTAGCCAAACAGACATCATTATTAGGATGCAAAGATAGCTGAAAAAGCTCAGAATAGACCAACAAATGGTCCCTAAGCTCACATAAGCACAAGAAAAAAGTTCAGGTGGAATGGACCTGCACGCTGAGCCATGAAACAGCTTCTATAGTTAATGGGATAAGTCTAGAGTACTATAGGTTGCTATGGCAATGCCACAATTGTGATATGCATGTGCAAAGATAAATTTGGGGTGGATTATCTACTAGCTTAGAACTGTGTACATGACCTGCATCATTTGAAATTTCTTGCATGAATTTATCTGAGTAAGTTTCCCTGAATATGTATTTGGGATCTTTTATCTAGGGACGTGAGTTTAATATGGTCCTTGTGATTTGATAAAGATTCTGCAACTCTTAATAAAATTCTGGACCTTTCTTAAATTGCTTGTCCTGACTGAATAGAGCAATAATGGTAAATCTTTTGGGTTTGGAACTTTGGAAAATGCCTTACTTGATTCTGACGGCAAGTCACCTCCCGTCTAACAAAAGATAAACATTTACATATTTATTTACCTGAAAAATGCAGTACAATTATTTGTGGTGCTATATTTTATGTAAAGAAACATCAAATAATTACAAAACTGAAATTTGAGCAAAGTAAACTTATGTTTGGAGGGTCCTGAGGCTGTGTCAGAGCATACCCCATTCTTACGTATCTTCCGAAAATCATATGAGACTAGTTGTCAGGTGTTGCTGAATGCTAGTGTGTCATCCAAAATGTCATGGTGTGTCATCTTTGACATATGTGTCATAGGTTTGCCATCACTGGAGTAGAGGAATGGCCCTGACCATCGCCATTTGGGTGGCAGAGAAGAGAGAAGGGCACTAGGAATTTTCTCAGGGTATTTCTCCAACAAGGGCACATGTTTCCATCTGTTCAAAAATGGCTTCACCCACTTCAGTAGCAGTGTGCATTTTCTTCTGAAAGAGAGCAGGAAGGAAAAGCAGGGCTGGAAAAATTTTTGCAGAACCCTAGTTTCCAAAACAATTATATTCTGGACCACATGGAAAAAAAATCGAATCCATTCAAACTCTAAAGCTAGATCATACCATTATTGGCCCCAAACCAATCAGTAGAAAAGGAGATGATGGGCTAAACTTTAGAATTATCCAAAATTTATTGTCACTTTACTAAGTATTATTTTAACTCTTTAGGCAATTAGAATAGAATAGAATAGAATAGAATAGAATAGAATAGGAATAGAATAGAATAGAATAGAATAGAATAGAATAGAATGGGACTTTGGAGGTCTTCTAGTCCAGCTCCATGCTCAAGCGACTGTCTAGTCTCTTCTTAAAAACCTCCAGTGATGGAACACCCACGATTTCTGAAGTCAAGCTGTTCCATTGGTTAATTGTCCTCACTGTTAGGAACTTTCTCCTTAATTCCAGGTTGCTTCTCTCTTTGATCAGTTTCCAACCATTGTTTCTTGTCCTGCCCTCTGGTGCTTTGGAGAATAATTTGACCCCCCTCTTCTTTGTGGCAGCCTCTCAAATACTGGAATAATTGTGCTGCCTTACCCATTCATAAATGGGGACATGTAATGAGACCCTGAGTTTCCAATAATTATGTAAAGACTCAGCGTCCTTTTTGGATTTATGATTTATTTTGCTATTAAATATTTTACAAGAATGAATGAATGAAGGAAGGAAGGAAGGAAGGAAGGAAAGAAAGAAGGAAGGAAAGAAGGAAGGAAGGAAGGAAGGAAGGAAGGAAGGAAGGAAGGAAGGAAAGAAGGAAGGAAGGTATATGTGAAGTTTTTTAAAGTCCGTTCTTGTTGCCAAGATTCATAAAATGACAATCTGGTGTATCTAGTCCTTGCCTTGTGTTTCCTTCATTCCCCCCCCCCCCAGAAATATTTTTAACATATGGCATACTGCAGCTGATTTCCCTATTGAGCAGGTTTTTGCAAAATGAAATACTAAGGTGCAAAAAAAAAAGGGAAAAAAGGAAAAAAAAGATGGCTCCGTTTGTTTTTCCTTCCTGCTATGTCTCACACTG